GCGACCTCGTAGCTTGGCACGTCCAGGAGCAGGGACTGGGAAAGTCCAAAAAGCTGAATGCCAAGTGGAAAGGCCCGTACAGAGTGGTCCAAGTGAAGTGGCCGAAAGTAGAACTGGAGGATCGCTATGGGAAGAAAAAGGAGGTCCACCTGAACCACCTGAAACCGGTGACCTCCAACAGACCACTTGATGAGTTCCGAGGCCGTGGTCGTCCTCGGATCTTGAGAGGGAGGAGTAACGGCAGGTAGCCGTGTGTTGTGGCTGTACGTAACATCATCTGTGAACGGGTGCCGCGGCGAGAGAACGGCACGTGCATTTGTAAATAAACATCACTTCCATCCCACCTAGCTAAGCACGTGCACCACGTGTGTTATTCTAAAAAATACTGTTGTTTTAAAGGACTATTTGCCAACATTTTTCTCCAATGAGTACACTGGCTCAACACACTTTAACGAGCTGCCTGAAGACTTGCACGTACTGATCTTCTCGTTGCTTGAAATACCAACTCAGATTCGCATTCGAGCCGTTTGCAGACAGTGGCGCAACCAAATTGAAAACGCCTTCTTCAAACCCGTTCGCCACCTAAGTCTGTTCATCATTGACCCCGGTAGCACTCCAAAACAAAAGGAGCCGACAAACTCGGTTTCAGATTCGCTGCCCCCCAAGTACGAGTACTACGCCGGCAATGAACAGTTTGGCAGTCGTGAGAGCAGCTTTCTCTACGTGGACGACATTGCCGCCAGTCTGGCAAAGCCGCCCACCATCGAGGAGATTGTACTGAGGAACCGAAACCACGGCTACAAGGTCCACCAGCTGATTGAAATTGATGAGGGCCGCCTGGGAAGTGTCGCTTCATACAGCAACATCATCAGCAGCAGCAACAACAACAAAAACAACAAAGAGGCGCAACCTTCTGCCTTTGTGAAGTCTTTTTGCCGCATGCTGACAGGCATCTTTCAAAACAACAACAACAACAACAACAACGGCGAAGGTATCCGCCTGGAGGAGCTGTCAGTGTACGCCTCTCGAAAGCACCTTCCCCTGCAGCCGTCTTTCTCCTGGGGCCTGGACGAGTGGCAGCACTACAAGTGGAGCTTCACACACAGCCGCGCCATGACGCGCAAGTTCCAGGAGCTAGAGGAGGCCCCTCTTCGACCGGTGGACGTATTCCTAGCGGCGGTCATCCGCGCCCTGGCCGACTTGCGGGTGATCACCATCAACTACGACTGCTCGTACATCTTCCAGCTGTCCAGCATGAGCGGGCACATTGCCGCCCTTGCCGAGCACCGCCGTCTGAAGGAGCTTAAACTGCACTTTAACCTCGGCGACAGTCGGTGTCTGCTGTATGAGAAAAAGAAGGCTGACGACGACGCTGATGACGACGAAGATGTGCACATGCACTATCACTTCGGCTACTTCTCTCGACATTCACGGCGCCGAAAGGAGGAGGAGGAGGAAGAGGCGGCTGCCAAGGTGCCGCCGCAGCTCTTTCAGCTGCTGATACCCAACCTTGAGAAGCTGTCACTTCGAGGGCAGTTTGACGATAAGCAGCTGCTGTGCACCCTCAACGCGGTCAGTTCTAAGATGAAGGAGCTGAAGATTAGCCGCTCAGTGTACGGACGAGTGGAGAATGAGTGTGAGGATAAGATCAAGAAGCTGCCCATTATCTCTACTGTGAAGGTGGCCTGCTGGTCGGTTTACGCGCAATCGGATATCAGAAAATGCGTTCACCTTTACCCAAATGTGGAAACGTTGCAGTTGGAAATTTGCAAAGTATTGGTTTTTTTTGTTTTCGTTTGATTGTTTTGTTTCAAAATATAATATTATTTTTTATTTTTTTCAGGAAATAGTGCCAATAGTATTGCTCAATGATTTGGCAAAGTTTGAAAACCTGAACGAACTGGCAATTATATCGTTTGAAAAACTCAACATGCTCACGACAAACTTTTCTTTGCCTTTGTTAAAGAAACTCTATTTTCTGCAGCCTTTTAACAACAACGATATTTGCCGGCCAACTAATCCACTTTTTCATCAGTACTACATTAAACGTAAAGTGAATTATCAAAACATTCAGCCAGATGAAGCTAACGAAAATTTACCCGAAGAAAACGAGGAACTAGTAAATATTACTTTAAACTTCTTGCCGTTTATCAAAATGCTGAAGGAAACATTTCCCAATCTTGAAGAACTCGTCCTGGCCGGATATATGCATTTAGCCCAGTACAACACTTCACTTTTATTTGAGCAGCTGCAAACGTTTATTCCCTCAGTCAAAATATACTTTCGAGACATAGTCACTGGGCATATGGTGTCCGCTACTACCGCCTCAAAATAAATCGCTTCACAGTCCTTCGCAGAAAGAGCACAGCTTCCGTTGGACTCGGGTAAAGTAGGGCAGCTCTTCAAGGGGCGCTTTCACGCGAATCGTCTGCCCTCCGGCGTACCGGGCGCCATGCTGGTCAGTCCAGGTGCTCCCATTGATGGGCAGGTACACCGTACGCTCCGTTTGGTTCATTCGAAGCACCGGCGCCACCAAAATATTGCTTCCCAGCATAAACTGATCACCGACGTGATAGGCGGCCGCATCCTCCGGCGCCTCGTACCACAGCGGCCGTACAATGGGTGATCCCTTGCTGACCCGCTCCCCCGCCAGACGGAAGATTTCCGGAGAGAAGTGCTCGTGCAGGGCGACGTACCGCCGTGTCAGGTTGAGAACCAGCTCACTGTGCTCTGCACCAGATCCGGCGTAGCTCCAAGGGGCGTGAAAAAAGTGCATTGCCGGCATCAACGCCACCGCCTGCACCCAGCGAATGTACAGTTCCGGCGAGGGCATCACCTCCCGACTGAAGCCGCCCACCTGGTAGGGCACCACAAAGGCGTAGCCGGCCAGCGAGACGGCGAGGACGTTGGGAATCAGGTCGGCCAGCTGCTGCTCATAGCCGCCGGCTCGGTTGTAGCGGTCTCGCGTCAGGCGGACAAAGTTGGGCAGGTGCTGCGTTCCGTAGCCGACATCGCTGACCACCTCCCGCCCTAGCTGTGCGGCACACTCCACGTACCGTTTGGTGATGAGAGCTGGAGAGCGGTGCACCGCCCGGTCCCGAAAGCCCATCAGCCATCGAATGGAGACGCCCTCCAGCTGGAAGGCGGAGAAGCCGTACTCGTACTTGGCCCGGTGCAGCAGGTACTGGTACCACTCGCAGGCGTCGGCGCTGCTGAAGTCAATCACCGAGGTGACGTCCGTCGAGTTGACTCCCGTCGGATTGGAGGCATTGTAGTAGGGGATGAAGAAGGCGGCGGTGGAGTTGTCACCGTGCTTGAAGCCGCTACGGTACTTTGAGGTCGCCGCGACGGCCGTCATGCCCAGCCTGGTGAAGCCCATGCCCTTCAACGTCGCCAGCAGCTCCTTTGGATGGGGATACTGGCTGGCCGTCAGCTCCATGCTGTTGTGCTCCCGCTGGAGGTAGTCGTCGAACATTAGCTGGCTGTGCGATGAAAAGCCGTGCTCGACTATTTGCTTGGCAAACTGAAGTACCGCCGCCTGGTTGATGGCGAACGAGCCAACAGAGGATGCGCCCTCGATGGACCACGTTGGAAAGCGGAACTTGGCCTCATCGGGAATGGCCTCCAGTCGACTAATGGCGCCGGAGGAGCGCACTGTGTAGTCCACTACCTCACGGGTATTTTTCTCAATAAAAATGTGCATTCGAAGGGCTCGATAGTCGGCGTCAGTGTTCAGGTGGTCATACGGCCCGGAATTGTTGGCGCTAAAGCAGAGTAGAGGCTCAAAAGTGTTTGAGGTGTTGCTGTTGTGAGCTTTCACCAAGTTTGGATCGCGTCGAAGGAAAAGCGGCGTACGGTAATCGAAGGTAACGGCAAAACCGTCGCTGTTGACAAAAAGCTGCTCAAGGATTTGATGAAAGTCCTCTGTTTTTGGATCATATGTGAAATTGCGGACGTTGTTGAAGGGCTGCACAGGCAGTACCCTTGAGGTGTCCATTGGCCAACTGGGTGCCAAACTTTGGTAGCCATTGTACCAGGAGGCATTCCGGTAGCCGTAGCTGATGCACAGCTCTCGACTGTTGTTGTTGGTCTTATTAGCGTGGTTTTTTGGCTGAACACCAGGCCAGTAAATGCTGAACTGTTGCACGGCATCAACGTCAACAAGACTCTGCTCTGCTGAAAGATACATTGTGGTTCCGTCGTTTAAGTGTAATGACCATAAGTTGGGTGTACTGCCAGTCACTTTTAAAATGGCTAAATCAGATGAGCCGGGAAAAATCAACTTCAACAATGCCGGATCACTGGCTCGTTTCTGGTTAGGTAAATATAACTCTCGACCATTATTGCCAATGACGAATTTTCCATGTGTCACATCTTGAAAAGCAGAATCTTCAAAACCCTCAACTTGAAAGTTGATGGCACTGGTTGCAAGTGTGTCACCAGCAACCAATAAAAATGTCACAAAAATAACTATGTTTTTCATCATTTGTTAAAAAACTTTATTTAAAACTATGATTTATGTTATAAATTATAAATGTACAAAACTTGTAACGCATCAACCGTTTGTTTTAAAGTAAAATTGTTATAATACTCAAGTTTTTTATGACAAGCAATCTTAAGTGCTAAAACAAGTTTTAGTTTTTTAAATGTTAGTTTGTAATAATTATTGTTACAGCAATAATAATAACAAGCAAAATGATTTGCAAACATGACTGATTAACAATTGTAACTAGTAAAAATATTTAATTTAAATGTTTTTAACATTTTTAACTGAATTTTATATTTAAACAATACTAAAACAAACAAAGATTTAAAACTAGTTTAATTTAAAGGATTTTATTGTTTTTTTTGTAAATTGTATTTGCGTACATTATTTATTTTACATTTTTGAAAATTTATTTAAAAATATAGTTTAAATGTACTAAATGTGTAAGAAAATTTTAAACTTATTAAGTCATTAATTTGTAATATCAAAACAAAAACAAATTAACTTGAAACATGCTATCATTTGTTTTAAAATGCATTACATCATGATGATATTAATGTTTTAACTTTTTAGTTAATCGATTGTTGCTATAGTGTTTAATTTTAAATTCAAAATACAAACAAATATGACAAAGTTTACATATGTTTTGCATGAATTTATTTTTTATATAAATTTTAATTTACTAACATTTTGACAATATTTATGAAATGCATTAAAAAACAATTTTTAATGGAGCGCAACAGCAAGTTTTGCAGAATTTGCAACGACAGAGCCATTGGTGAGTGTTTTAAAAATAAATTCAATCAAAATTAAAATAATTTTACACAGGTTTTAACTACAAAGGAAAACTGCCAACATGCAAATCTTGTCGTATGTTTTTCTGGCGAAACGCTTCTAAACGAGGAGTATACTGTTATATTATGTTTGTTTACAATTTAATCTTACTAATAATTTATTTTTACCACACAATACACCAGCAATTTGCTTGTTTGGGCTCTGATCACTGTGATTTAAGCGTTGGTAAACGCAAAGAGTGTACTAAATGCCGCCTTGAAAGATGCTTTGAAATTGGGATGGTGCCACCCAAACTGTCGTACAGTACTGACACTTCAAATTCATCTTCTGATTCAAAATCTCCGCAGTTAAAATCATTTTGTTTTTACAAAACAATTGATCATTTGCCAAAATTGAAAATAGTTACTGAAAACCTTTTTGGACATCCTCTAAGTTCTTTTGAGCAAGCCTGTTTGGACAAAATTAATACCAATTTATGCGGTCATTTTGTTGATGAGTTTGATTTAAAAGTCACAAAAGGCAATAAGTCTCTTTCTCTGATTCTCAACACGCCAAGTGTGTATTTGCGAGAAATGGTCATTTTTCTCAATCGAATGGACATGTTTAGAACATTGAACCGAGTAGATCAATTGCGTGTTGTCAAAGCAGCCGGATACTATTTTGCTACCACAAGGCTTGCCTATGCTTATGACTCAACAAGTGAATCATACATTATTGTTACTGTAAACCAAAAAATCTTTTTTTATATATCTAAAAAAGTTTTATTTCACAAAACAGGACAGTGGAGCAAAAGAAGCAGTAAGCTTAAAACTGGAGTATTTTTATGATCTAGTTCCCGAACGAGAAAAAATGGAAGAATGTGGACGCATTTCCCAAACACTGTACAAACAAATGGATCATGACTTAACTGTGAGAAATTTAGTATGTTTTTGCAACATTTTATTTGACATTTTTAACAAATATTTTTCACTTTTAGCTATCAATGATTATTGTTGCGTTTTCGTTTTCAGAATTAATTGGCACCGAGTATATGAAGTAATGTTTTTGTTTATTTATAGTATTAAAAACTCTCTAAAAATTTAATTAAACATTTAAGGTATATGTACGCAGTTTATTGTCATCTTTTAAAACGATATATTGAACAAAAATATGGTAATAGTTGTGTTGACTCAGAATTTGTTACATTAAAATATATCAAAATGTTGCAAACAATTCACAATGATTTAAACATTTCAAAAAAACACTATTATTACTGGATAGCAAAATGCGAAACAGGAGTTGTTGATGAATTGTTGCGAGAACTTCCAGAAACTAACTAATTTGTTTTATATTGTAAGTTATATTTGTGTTATTAGAAAAATTGGTTTAAATAAAATTTAACCAAATAAATTTTGCAAAAAGTTTAGAGTTTTGCTCCAAAAACCTACATTTTTTTCATTATGAGAAAAGTACTTTTCTAATAATTCCTTAACATCTGATAGTTTAACGCCAGTATTTTTACCTCCAACAACGCAATTTTTGTTTTTGTCAATGTTTCCCCCTGAAAGTACAGCAACAGCAAATCCAGAACTTGTAATAAATGGTGAACCACTGTCTCCCTGTTCATAAAAATTAAAAATTTAAAATTTAACTTTGTGATATAAACTACTTACATAACAAGTTGTTTTGTTGTGCATTTGGGTTACAACTTTATTATGACAATAATTTACAACTGCTTTTAAATTTCGCAAGACTCCAGATTTTTTTCTTTCATTTTTACCAAAACCGTAAATTGTCAAAATTTCTCCTTTTGTGCATTTCCAGTTTTTATCAATAACAACTAATTTGACATTTTTAACCGATTTTTTTAGTACAAGCACTGCAACATCATGTTCTGTGTCAGTGTAGCAATTATCAATGTACGCTTTTTGTTTTTGCGATTCAGTCACATTTCCAGTGTTATAAACGACAAACTTTCTAAAATTGATAATTAGAAACTAGTTTAAAAATTAATTTTTTAGCATTTTTTAAACTTACAAATTAGCTTTGCAGCAGTGTTTTGCTGTAATAACCCGGTCATCAGCAACAAAAAATCCTGAACATGTAAATTTTGGGGAGCCAAAAAAAGTAGAAGAAAAAATAGCAGCCATATAAGGTGCAAATGAAATTGGAACAGGGTCAACATTGAAAATAAACGGTGCAGTGTTGTTGGCAGAATATATGCCCATTAAACTTAGTGACAAAAAAAGCGCAAACACAAAAATAGACATTATAATAATTTTAAAATTCTAAATGATTTAAAAGTTTCGCATTAAACACTATTGCTCTCACTATTTGCTGAATTAATTTATATTGATGATTAGTTCAATTTGTTTTTGTTTAAAACAAAATAAATGCTAATTATCAAAACTAAAAAACAAAATAAATTTTTATTGTTTTTCAAACTAATTTAGTGTTTGTTTAACAAAAAAATGTTTGTTATTACAAATGAATATTTTATTTAAATAATATATTTAAAACTTAATTTTGTTTTACTTTTGAAAAATTTTTTAAACATTTTATTTAAAACAATTTTTATCTAGACGTTGTTTTTGTAGTAAAAAAGGTACAACCTAAATTGAATAAAAATCATTAAACAAATTAATGTAAAAATATTAGTCAAATACGTTTAAAAATTAAAATCAAAACTTTTTGTATTTGTTTTATATGTAGTGCATATAAAAACTAAAAGATTTAAAAAAATGTACAAAACAATTTTTATCTTTGTTATCAACAAAAATACCACATGATAAGAATAAACAACTAGACGTGTGCGCGAATATGTACAAAAAGTTATCACTTATTACACTTTTATTTGAAACTCAGTCAGTAAACCAATCAATCAGGAAACTTTTTCAACTGATACCATTTTCAAAAATTTTAAAAATTGTATTTTTTATTTTTAATTAGTTTAAAATTGATTCAAACATTTTTTAATAATGTTAATTTCAATTTGTGTTTTTGTTGCTGTAACATCAACAATTTTAAATTTTAAAACAGTGACAGCGATCAATCAAATATCCAAAACACAAAAAAGTGCTACTGCACAAAACTCTTATTATTTAAAATCTAGCAACAAACTTCTTCCGACATTTGTCTCTAGCAAACCCAACATTACTCTTTCTACAATTGAAGACATTGAAATGCTGACTTACTTTCTTCTCTGGAAACACGACTACTTTGACAACGCACCTGATCTAAATAGCATTCAAAGTAAGTGGCAAAACAAAAGAAATGCAATGTTTTTATTTATCCCCTGTCACTTTTTAAATTACAAACATATATTTAAACACTTACCCAATATAAAAATTTAATAGGAGACCTTGAGGAAGACTCCAATCGGCTGAGTGACAGCAAACTTCGCGAATTTATAGAGAAGCTAAAGATCAAACACCTGATCACCAACCGCCCACTGAGTGGCTTCAATCTCAGCCGGGACCTCTGCACCAGCGCCTCCTTTGAGGCACACCTCACGCAGCACAGTCGATACTGGTCCTCCTCCTCGTCCACTAACTCAAGGTCATCATCATCATCGTCCTCAGCGTCGAAGAAGGACTTCACGAAGGCGAGGGCCATTTGCGAGGCGGCCGCCGACTGTCGCAGTCCAAAGCAGCTAACCCGACTGATCGGCCTCACCGCCACACCGAATGCCACCCTCTCGCAGTCCATCGCCCGCCTCTGTCCGCTGATGCTCTTTCAGCTGCAGGAGCAGGAGTGCGTCGACCGGCGCGAGGTGACCTCCCGCGCCAAGAACGCCCCCTCTGCGGGCGCCGTCTGGGGCTTTGCGCTGCTCTTCGTCACCATCGTCACCTTCTGCGCCCTGGCCGGAGTGGGCGTGCTGCCCTTCCTCACGGACACCTCCTACGAGGTGCTGATCACCGTCCTGCAGGGGCTGGCAGTGGGCAGCACCGTCGGCTCTGCCCTCTTTCACCTCATTCCGCAGGCTTTCAACCTGGCGCCGGCCACCAGCACCAACGACGGCAAACTGCTAGGCAGTGGCGGCAGCGGAAACAATGGCAACGATCAGAACGAGTACCTCTGGCGAGCGCTGATCATCTTCAGCGGCATCTACCTCTTCTTCTGGTTTGAGCGGCTGATGAAGATCATCTCTGAGTGGAGGCGAAAGCGAAAGCTGAAGGTGGAGGTCTCAGTGCCCTCCAGTACTAGCGTCTACGAGATGCCTGAACTGGAGAAAACGGTCTTTTACAAAAGGTAAAACACACAGATTTTTAAGTTGTTTTAAATTTACAATTTTGTACATTGCAGGCACGTTGGTTTTACCAGCTCTCCACCAAACGGTTTTCTGAGTGTGCCACACCAGCAGCAGCAGCTGCAAACGCCGAACCTCACTTCAATGCCAGCAAACACTGTCTTCACTGTCAACAATAATCCCCATCATTTGAGTGATAGCGACAGTGACAGTGACAGTGACAGTGGCGATGATGATGATGACGGCAGTGAAATTGAAGCCGATGATGATCACTACCCTTATCGCCGTCATCAGCCACCAGCGCCTCCGCCGCCTACGCCGAGAGCCAACTCCAATCTTCTGCTCAGCAGCGGTAACAGTGAAAGGCCCGGACCTGGAACTGCTGTGGTCAATCGAGGAAGAGGCGTTTCCTACAGCCAAAGCCAGAACTCCCGTTCCTCGGGAGAGGTGGCCACCATCGCCTGGATGATCATCCTCGGCGATGGCATGCACAACTTCATCAACGGCGTGACCATCGGGGCGGCCTTCACGCAGAGCATCATGGAGGGCATCAGCATCTCGGTGGCGGTCGTTTGTGAGGAGTTTCCCCATGAACTGGGCGACTTTTCGCTGCTCATCAGCAGCGGTATGTCGATGCGCAAGGCGCTGGGCTACAACTTCATCTCAGCCTGCACCTGCTACCTCGGTATGATAGTGGGCATACTGATTGGCGACTTCTCCGACGCCACGCCCTATGTTTTTGCCCTTGCTGGAGGGATGTTCCTGTACATTTCACTGGTGGACATGATGGGTGAGCTGTCCACCAATCTAGAGGCGGCCAATCGAAAGCGCGGACTAAGATTTACCGCGCAAATGCTCATTCTCCAAAATTTGGGCATTCTCATTGGCGTGAGCATCATGTTCAGTTTGGCAAAGTACAGCGATAAAATTAACTTTGAAGGTTTAGTGCCGCCTAAAAACTCTGATATGCCCTTTACAGAATCGTAGTTTATTAAAAGTTAAAATATGTTTTATGTGTAGTGGCTACATAAGTTTATTTTGTTAAAAACAAGTTGTTGTTAAATTTCAGTTAAGTTTTGTTATTTTTTACTACAAAATACATCTCAAAATTACTATTTTTAAGATAAAAAATGTTAAAAATTTTTATAAAAAAATGTTTGTTCAAGTTACGCTTTGACGTAAATAAAATAGTTTTCAAAACATAGCACTTTTATCATTTTTGATGATTCACTGCTGCATATTTTTAATCATGTTAAATTGATTTTGTTCACGTGTTTGATAAATCACAGCAATTTTGTTTTGTAATAACAAGTTTCAAAATTGCGCAAATATTTAGTTTTGCTCATGTTAAGTTGAGTTTATTTTTTAGATCAAAGTTAACTATTGATAAAAGATACAGTAACATTAAGCTAAAATGATTGGCAGCCACGTGAAAAAATGATTTGCCATTGTCGACAAAAAGACATTTCATTATCAGTTTTATGCCGTCTCGTTTCTGATAAGAACAGCGATGAATCACTGTTTTTATCCTGACACAATATCGGCAATAATCTGTTGTATATTTATTTGAAACTATCAAAAAAACTTTTTTTATTGACTAAAAATTTTTCTGTTTTTTAAAATGAGTATATATAAATAACACAACAAAACTATTTTTTGTTATATCATTAACATATGTTTACATTTAATGTCAAATTATCACATTAATTTTCAACATGAGCAACTTGAATAAAATCTCAAACGGTTATGCCATTGAAGATGAAGACGACGAAGAGCTGCACACTTCTTGTGGAATCGGATCATGGCGACCTCAGTGGCTACAGTGGCTGGCTAATCCCTTCTTCTTTATGGTCAACATTTCCATCGTCGGAGTTCTCCTCGGTCAAAGTGGCTCAGTGTACTACAGTCAAAGTTCCACTATTGAAAAACGTTTTGGTTTTGACTCCAAACTGACCGGACTCATCATGATCATGGACAACTTTGCTGAAATTGGGGTAAGTTTTGTTTCTTGTTTGTAATAATCAAGCCAAGTTTTTTAACTAACAAACTCAATCCTTACCATTTCAGCTAAATCCGTTCATCAGTTACCTGGCCGTTCGCTACAACCGAGCCCGCCTAATTGCCATTGGTCAGGTGCTGGCGGCGCTCTCCTGCTTCATCACCGCCTCGCCGTACCTTTTCTACGGCCCGGCAACGCATCTGCTCACCGAAACGGACACCTCCTTTAAGTCCGCACTGAAATCGCTCGATAATAAGACGGCCAACAACTTTGAGCTTTGTTCGGCCGACGGCCGTCTGGAGGATTGTTCTGAGGGGCCCAGTGTGACGGTGTGGCCGGCAGTTGCTCTGTTACTGCTTGGCAGCTTCGTCCGCGGCCTCGGCTACACTAGTCTGGTGGTCATTGGACTGCCTTACCTTGATGACAACACCTCCAAGAAGAAGTCTCCTTTTTACATTAGGTAAATCATACCAGTGATAAGATAACACTGTGCAAAAGTTTTAATCTTTTTTTAATTCTATTGTAGTATTCTCATGTCACTCCGATTAATTGGCCCTGCATCGGGTTTTATGATTACCGCATTTTGTCTGCGAATGTATGAGAATCCGTTCAGTAAGTGTCAAGTTAAATTAAAATTTTTAAATTATCTAACTAAATAATTTTTTTAACAGTGGACCCGGGTATTAAGCACACAGATCCGCGCTTTGTTGGCGCCTGGTGGTTGGCTTTTGTAATTTGCGGATCTCTCCTCTTACTAGCCTCATTGCCAATGTTCCTTTTTCCGGCTCAATTTAAAAACGCGCCTGTCAAGACAAAAGATATTAAAAAAAAGATTCTCGCAAATGGAGGTACCAGCTTATTTTTTAGTATCATTTAAACTTTTTTTTAAAACTAATTTAATCTTTTAGGTAGTCTAGGCGCTTTTAAGAGAATTGTCACCAACCCACTGGTTATGTGTTGCCTGGCGTCAAACACTTTTGCCGCTTTTGGCCTCTTTGGATATATGATTTACAAATCAAAGTACATTGAATCACAGTTTAGACAGTCAAGCTCAGCCGCCTCCTTTATCACTGGTGGGGCGACTTTTCTGCCTACGGCAATTGGCATTTTTCTTGGTGGTGCGATCCTGACGTTTTTCAAGCCCCGACCTCGTACAGTCTTCATAATGGTTTTTCTCTGTGAAGCCTTCTACATTGTTTCCTTTGGCTCGGGTTTCTTTTTGGGCTGTGACCCGCTGAAAATTGCCGGTTCTGATGCTAACGCAAATTTGGGAGAATTCTCACTTAACACGAGCTGCAATGCCGGTTGTGATTGCTCGACCAGCGTTTTTACTCCCATTTGCGGACCTGACCAAACCACAACTTATTTTTCGCCTTGCCATGCTGGTTGCAGCAGCTTTAATTTGTCAAATTCGGTAATGTTACTTTATCAAAAACATAAAGTTTTACATTGTATTAATTTTTTTATTTAGACATTCAGCGACTGTTTGTGTTTCAATGGAACAGCCACTAAAGGCTACTGTCAATCTGACGTGACTGGATGCACAAACTTGATCCCGTTTATAAGTATTCTCACGATGGGAGGCATCATCGCTTCAATTGCTCGTACTCCAGGAGCGCTCATTTCACTGAGAAATGTTGAACCTTACGACAAGGCATATGCAATTGGTTTTGCCGCCATTGTGTTGGATGTATTTGGTAAATACTAAACTTTAATAATACCTTTCAAATTGCTTAAATGTTCATTTTACAGGTTACATTCCTACATCAGTCATTTTTGGTTTCATCATTGACAGTGCCTGCTTAATTTGGGAAAGCAAGTGCGGTGATACAGGCAACTGCTGGGTTTACGATCATGATAAGTTCCGCAATTATTTACACGGGACGGCTGTTTTTTGCTTAGTGATGGCTAGCGCTTTTGATTTTGTAGCGATTTTTTTGGCAGACCGTGTCAAGAACTTTTACGATGACAGTGATGATGAAAGCAACATAAAAAACCGTATGCTTGATAAAAGTAAAACTGATCTAGAAGAAAATAATATGATTGCTGAAATGAAAGAAATCGGTCAAACCGAGTTACTAGCATAATAAATTAAAATTGTTATAGAAAATTTATTTAAAAATAAAATAAAAAACAACTTTTATGTTTATTTTGTTGTTAACAAATTAGATCAAATTTTACGCTACAACATTACAATATGAGTTTACATCTATTTCCATGGTAAAGCATTTTTAGCAGAATTAAAAATTATTTTTGAAAACAATTGTGCAAAAACGTTTTTGGAAATTGGTGCAGTATTTACACGTTTTTCTCGTTGTTTGTACTGATCCCGCATTTTTTCATTTGTTTTTAAAACTTTACCAAAGAAAGTGCCATTAAGATTCAAAGTCAACAGTTTTTTCTGCGCTGATAAAATGTCACTAGTTGTGATTGGTCTTTCTTGTCCATTTGAAATTTTAGTTTTTAAATTGTTTACTTTTTCATTGTGCTTCTTTCTCAAAAGAAAAAGACTGTCAATGTTTGCATAGTTTTCTTTTAGTGTTTCTTGGCTAATAAGTTTTGTCACACAGTTCTGAAAATAGTTCTTTTCACTCTAAAAATTTTTTACAAAATAAATTATTATTGGTAAACTGATTTGACAATCAATATTATTAACTTACAAACAAAGAGTTTGCCGCCAAAAAATAATCAAACTGAGCTCCAATGTTCTCAATTGTTTCAAGTTCCCGTTCCATGTTTTGCACTTGATCGTTAAAGTTTTTAAGCAAACGCTTTTTTTGTTCAATCATGTCGTTTGTTTCACTGAGCAGCTTTTTGGCGTTTTCATTCACTACCTTGCGCTTAATTTTCACGTACTCATAGCAAATTGCCTCATGATCAGAAGTTTTGCAAGTGCACCGTAGACAAACAAAAGAAAACTCAAAAAGTTTAAACGCCATGGCAGAGCAAAAAGTTTTCGAAATATCATCTAAAATTGAATAAAGAAAATTGTTACAAAAAGGTTTTTGGTAAAAAAATTGCATTAACACTCACCAAGAAATGTGTCCACAAAGTGATAGCAATTGCACGGTTTGCAGCACACCGTACTGTAGCTAGCTTTCTCGTGACCCCGAAAGACATTTTCCGGACAGTTGGAGTTAGTGCACACCATCTTCGGAATGTCGGTGGACTGTTTCTCCAGATCTTCTACCTCCATCTCCACCAGCTCCTTCAAGTCTTCTCTGGTAGTGCTGGCTCGATTCAGTTTTTCTTTGTTCTTCTCGATCTTGGCGATGTTCTTCTCAATGTTCTGCGTCAGGCGGATGATGGGCTCCACCAACTCTGAGATGACCTTCTTTGCGTTGTTCAGCGAGATGGTGTCATCAAGGTCGTGTGGCGTAAACGTCTGAATGGTGGTAAACATGGCGACGCACTGTTTCACCGAGTAGTTCCAGCTCTCCTCACAGAGCATCTTCTGAATCGGCTTCCACTCGTAGCCCTGCTTCTTTGCCACCAACAAGCGGTAGGCGTCATTCTCGATGAAGAAGGCGTTTCGGCCCTTTTCCAGGCGGATGCCCACTTCGGAGATTTCCTTTTCAAAGAAGGCCTTCAGCACGTCAAATCCGTCACCCGGGCCAAAAGTGCCTGGAGTGATTTGACTGTAGGTGAAGCAAAAGACGATGTTCTGCACGACGCTCTTGTGCAGGTAGGTCATCAGCTGGGTGATGCAGTACTGGAAGAAGGTGGTCTTGCGCTTGTCAGTGCCGTTGACAATAAAGATGATGCCGTGCAGCGACTTGAGCATCTGCAGGTAGGTGAGGATGCCCTCAAAGTTGCGGCGGTCCTGCTCGGTGCCGGCGGTGTCGCCGATGCCGGGCGTGTCGATGATGCGCAGGACGTTCCCGCCAAATGGAAAAAGGTACCCGTTGGGGTGGATGGTCGCAGAGGCGCCCACCTCGCTGCACTCATTTGCACTGGCATTTGCATCGACGCAGTTCGACCTGATGGTCACCGACTCGCCCGTCTCAGGGTGCGGCAGGGTGAACTGCGAGGGGATCACCTCGCTCAGCTGCTCAATCGTCTCGAGCGCCTCGGTGAAGGTGCTACAACGAAAGTAGTTGGCCAGCGCATTCAGTGTCGTCGACTTGCCGGCGCCCGTCTGCCCAAAGAGAAGAATGTTGATTTCCTTTGACATGCTGGAGCGAGTAAAAAGTATGCACAACTGTCTCTTTTTTCGATACCGGTGCTCAAATTTATACAGTTTTTGTGCTTTTTGTTTTTGATGTAAAAATAGAGTTCTCACAAAGTTGAGGTTTATCAACACTGCTATGCTTGTTGATAAGGTAGGCTAATAGTGATTACACAGTATTTAGTTGGAAACTGGTAAACAGTGCGTTTATGTGTTGATTAGTGTACTTGTTTTGATGCTCTGTTTTTAATAAGAAATAAGTTTTATTGACTTAAAACCTGTGAAAAATTTATAGTTTTTACTGCTCATTAAAGTTAGTTACTTGTATTTTTATTGTAATTTTGATTATTGCTAACGGTAAAAACTGTTTATCTATTTAATTATTTAATGCACAAGCAAAAAAAGTAGTTTTATCATTTATCATTACCAAGAAATGTAGCTTTAAAACAAATAATTCCCATTTATTACTTGACATTTTCAGTACACTGCAGTGATAAACAAAAAACTGAGATTGTTTTGTATTAATGTTGTAATTGTTGGTCTTTTTCAAATATTTGATTTATGATTATTTATAACTATTGCCGTTCACAACATAAAAATTTACAAAAACAAGTTTAATTTTTATAAAAACTATTTTGTCAAGTTTTTCTAGCGATAATAATGTCAACAAAAGAAATCAACATTCTCCTGTTAGGCCTCACCGGAGCAGGAAAATCAACAACCATTAATGCGTTGGCAAATTACTTTCAATTTAGTACTTTTGAAGAAGCTCTCCACTACTCAACTTGCAGTTCTAAAAACATAGTAGAAGTGATTCCCACTCAATTTACATTGCCCCATCCAGAAACGGGCAAAAAATTTGTCATAAAATCGTCATCATCAAAGTTTTCCGATGAAGGCAATGAACGCCAAAACTTAAATGATTTCGGTCAATCTGCCACTCTTTTCCCCACTGGATATCTTTTTACTTATGGCCGCAATTCCGTTTTGCGAGTCATTGACACTCCGGGCATTGGCGACACAGAGGGAATTTTTGATGATGTTAAAAATTACGAAAACATTAGGGCGTATTTGCACTGTTTTAAAAAGTTGCATGGGGTTATCATTATTGTTAATGGAAATGAAAACAGAAAAACAACCTTCTTAAAATATTGCATTGCTGAAATTTTTACTCATTTTCATCGATCTGTTGCCCAAAATATTGTTTTTTGCTTCACTTTCAGTTATACTGCCTCAGGACTTTATGGTCCAAAAATGGGCTACAATACAATTAAATCATTAATTGAAAATGACATAAAATTAGACAAAATGAAGCTAGAACTTGAAAAAAATGCGTTTTTTATTGAAAATGACGCGTATCGTTTTTTGTTGGCTAAAAAACAAGGCTATCCTTGGAACAAACTTAGTGAAAATTTTCATCGTGAAAGTTGGAATCATTCTGTAAAAGAGTTTGAAAAAATGTTTAAACGCATTTTAAGTTTTTCTGCACATGATTTAGTAGACACTATATCTTTGATAAATGCAAAAAATATCAATTTTAAAATTTCTGAGTCTGTTGATTATTTAACACAACGCATTACACAACAATCGGTTGATTTAGAAAATCTTGAAACAAAATTTGAAAAAAGTTTAAAAGTTTCATCAAGTTTTAAACCTAGCCCTAAAAACATTTTATTTTTAATTAAGGACAATTTCGCTGATTTGTACAACAATCATACGTTAAAGCTAAAGGTAACAAATGCTTATTTTAAAACTTAAAATTACAATATTTTTTATAGATTGCAGAAATGAAACAAGAAAAAGAAAAAATTGAAAATATTAGTTTGCAGTTTGTTTTTTTTATTAAATTTTTCTCAATGCTGGTAAATAAATTAAATTTTTATTTGTATTTAAATGTGTAACTAATATTTTATTTTAATTTTTAGCCATCTAACCTTTATTTCAATGATTACACAAAGATTCTTTTAGTACAAGAAAATCGAAAATATTATTCAAATTCTGAAAAATTAAAAAACTTGAAAAAACATTTCGATGAGAGTGCTACTCGATTAAATGAAAAACTAAATTATAAATTGCCTTTTAAATATAATCTTCCTATTATTGAATTATATGCGCATAGTGCAGCACACATGTTTCACTGGCAAAAAGAGTTGTCAAATCTGCAAAATACAGGACATATTTTTAAAAATGTTATTAAAGTAAAATCTGAAAAACTTCATTATTTTAAAATAAGAGAAAGTACAGTGCTCAACTTACTAAATAATGAAAATTTGTTGTCAAAATTGTTTAAAAACTTTTAGTTATAATTTTGTTGTGAAATTTTTTTTGAAAAAGTTAAATAAAACAAATAAAAACAAGTGGTAGTTTTACACGAGTTTTTTTACTAACAATAGTTGGCCAACAAATATTAAAAAATTTTGTTAATCAAACTCGAAACAGTTTTCTGAATGTTGATCTTCTTTTCATGGCTTTTAAATTTGATTCGCAATTCTTCATTGGCTTGAAGAATTTGCTGAAAAAGTGGACCATTGTGTTTCAGCGCCAACAACTCTTTCTGGAGCCGGGGAATGTCCTCTGCAGTAACAGAAGCACTTGACTTGCTCTCAATGGCTGTTTTCAGTCGTTGAACTCTTGCTTGGTGTTCCAACTTAAGTTTTTGAAGTTGGCCAGTGTTTGGTCGACTTTTCTGATTCTCTTGCTCAATCTGCTGATCAATGTAGTTTTCAAAATAATGATTGTGTGTCTAAAAAAAGTTTTGTTTTAAAACAAAAAAATGATTTAAAAACTAGAACTTACTAAAGTAGAGTTAGCGCTTAGAAAATAGGCAAACTTAGAGCCAATCTCCTCAATTTTCGTTTTTTCGCACTTTAATTCTTCAATGCTGTTTTGAGACTCTTTGATTAGCATTTCTTTTGCTTCCATGTCGCTGTTCGCCTTTTTGATTTTTTGCTCAACGTCACTGTTGACAATTTTTCTTGTTACTTTCTCAAAAGTATAGCTCACTGCCTTGTGCAGTGTCCATTTGCAGCCGCAATTGCGGCATTTCACGTCGTCCACAAAAAGAGAAACAATAAATGGCGTGTCCATTGCATCGCAAAACTTGTTGGTAAGGTCGCCTAGAATTGCAAAAATAGTAAAAATATTGATAAAACTAAGTTAAAACTCATTTGTTGCCCAACACTTATCAATAATATCAGTCCAAATCAAACAAAAACACGGTCTGTGGCAAACCGTCTTGTAGTTAATTTTCTCTCCTTCCCCTTTCACGTAAATCCGTTCAATGCAGCAGTCAGCTTTGCAGACCAATTGCGGCACTTGATCTGGCTTTTTCACCAAATCAGTGATAGTCGTCTCGAGAAAAGCGGCCAAATTTTCTCGCGTGTTGGCCCCATGTTCCAGCAGCTGCTGCGCCTTTTTGATTTCATCTAAATTTTTCTCAATCTCNCGAGCTGTCACCGTGTAAACGCGCTAGCTGCGCGTTGTGGCACAGCCTGAATATTTACACGTTGTGCCCGTGCTTTAAGAGCCCCAAAATATTGATAAAACTAAGTTAAAACTCATTTGTTGCCCAACACTTATCAATAATATCAGTCCAAATCAAACAAAAACACGGTCTGTGGCAAACCGTCTTGTAGTTAATTTTCTCTCCTTCCCCTTTCACGTAAATCCGTTCAATGCAGCAGTCAGCTTTGCAGACCAATTGCGGCACTTGATCTGGCTTTTTCACCAAATCAGTGATAGTCGTCTCGAGAAAAGCGGCCAAATTTTCTCGCGTGTTGGCCCCATATTCCAGCAGCTGCTGCGCCTTTTTGATTTCATCTAAATTCTTCTCAATCTTNACACGGTCTGTGGCAAACCGTCTTGTAGTTAATTTTCTCTCCTTCCCCTTTCACGTAAATCCGTTCAATGCAGCAGTCAGCTTTGCAGACCAATTGCGGCACTTGATCTGGCTTTTTCACCAAATCAGTGATAGTCGTCTCGAGAAAAGCGGCCAAATTTTCTCGCGTGTTGGCCCCATATTCCAGCAGCTGCTGCGCCTTTTTGATTTCATCTAAATTCTTCTCAATCTTTTGCGAGAGAAGAACAATTGGCTCTGACAGTTCAATGACAATCTTCCGAGCGTTGTTCAACGAGATAGTGGCATCCAGTCGGTGCGGCGTCAATGAGCTGATGTGGCTGAACATTCGCTCAATCTCTGCCACCGAGTGGTTCCAGCTGTGTTTGTACAGAAACTCCTGAATCTCACTCCACGGGTAGCCCTGGTTCTTCGCCACCAAAAAGCGGTAGGCGTCGTTTTCAATGAAGAAGGCATTTCGGCCCGGTTCCAGTTTGATGCCCACCGAGCTGATGTCCTCCTCGAGAAAGGACTTCATCACCTTGTAGCCCTCGCCAGGGCCGATGCTTCCCGGCGCGACTTGGCTGTTGGTGAAGCAGAAAACAATGTTCTGAATGACACTGCGATGCAGGTGCGTCAGCAGCTCGGTGATGCAGTACTTGAAGAAGAGCGTCTTGCGGTTGTCGTTGCCCTTCACGATGATGATCAGCCCGTGAAGGTTTTTGTGCTGTTGCAGATAGAGGAGGATCTGGTCAAAGTTCTTCCTGTCTTCGCCTGATCCGCCGGTATCGCCGATGCCCGGCGTGTCGATGATGCGCAACACATTGCCGTTAAAATTAAAGTTGTAGCCAGTAGGAGCCAAGGTGACGGAGTTTCCGCTGCCGTGTCGTTCGTTGCTATCTGAAAACTTTGATTTGATCAGCCACTCTTCTCCCGGCGATCGAGGGTCGGGCAGTGTGAACTGCGAAGGAACCACTTCGGTGAAGTTGGCCACCGAACGATTCGCCTCTTCAAAAGTGCTGAAATTGAGGTAATTGGCCAAAGCGTTTAGAGTGGTTGATTTGCCGGCGCCTGAAAATGAACAAATAAAAAAGTTAGTTTTAAAAAAAATGTTTTTAATCATTTTTTACCAGTTTCGCCCAACAGAAGAATGTTGATTTCTTTAGGCATTTTTGTGTTCAAGTAAATTTAGTTGCAAAAAAACTTGCGACAAAAAATGAGTTTGTCTTGTAAGCTGAATTTCTCCCTTTTTATACTGTTCAAAACAAATATCTGAAAATTTGTATGACTAAACGTTTGAGTTTGTGTGAACATAAGAAACATTAGTCACCATTTTCATAAGAAATGATAAAAACCAAGATAGTAGTGGTGGCTGTATCCTGTTATTCAGAAATTGCAAAAATTTTTTTTTAAAATTTTTCGAAAAAGTATTTTTGTTTTATTCTCATTTTGTTTTAATAAGTACTTTTTTATTTTGTGTTTAATCAGTGTTATGATAAAATAAAATTGAAACAATCTTTGTAAAAATAACTTTGACTTGACTTTTGACTTTTTAAGTAAAAACTATTTTCATTTTTAGTTTGTCATTGCCAAGTTTGACAAAAGTACATTTGATTGTCTTATCAAAAAATTTTTCTTATAAAAGAAAGTACTAAAACACTCTATAAATACAAATGCCAATGTTGTGATTACGAGTAAATTTTTTAATCATTTTTATAACTAACATGAAGCCATCTGGACTCGTATTTTGTTTGAGTAAATCCCCTACTGTTATTAAAAAATCTCGGTGCGTCGGTGCGTCCGTCACAGTCGCTACTGCGCATGCTCCCCACTCTGCTAGCGAAGCAGAGCGGAAGGGGGTGGGAAAGAGAGTGCAGTGGAAAAAGGAGCGGTAGAGAGGAAGGGGTGTCGGAACTGTGTTGCTAACTGATAACAATGCTTTTGATAACGGTAACTTTTTTTTCTGCGTGCAGAGGGGGATGCTGATCGGTGATTGGTTAACGGGAGAAAGCATTGGGGAGTGAGGAAAGCAGTGCAAGAGCCCGAGGCGGCAAGAGTTGACATTGTCCAGGTTACATTAGGTGAGCCGTCGGCCAAGTAGATTTACTGGAATTTTTAGGTGTAGG